TTTTTACAACATGTAACATAAAATACTATCACCCCTATATTCCCAAAGAGTACTTAGACAAATATTGTTTAGTTTTATTATGAGTCTAAAAACAAGTGATTAAGTAAGTAATTACAACGATATTGTCTTCTAATGAGTCAGAATAGGTGATTAAATGATTCTCAATACCGCACAACAATGCCAACTATGGACTTAATTAAGCTTTTTCTGATGAGTAAGCTAATTTGTTGATTAGTTGTGCTTTCAGTTCTAAAAAAATATATATATTTTAAGCGCACATATTTTTAAACTCTAATGACTTGATGATAACTTATTGCAATAAAAGGGCTAACATTTTGCTTAATAATTTATATCGTTCACAACTGTGTAACTGCTAACATTAAATCTTTGCTCAAAATTTGAAAATGGAAAGTTTAATCACCAATTTATACTTGTTCGTTCTTCTAAAAAGTGAGAGTACTTCATTTAATCATGAAGTATTGTTTGGTGCTATTGTATCCCGCATAGGCGATAGCCTTTCTGATGAAGATCAAGTAACTCTGAAAGAGTTTTGTCGGAGATTCACGTCAGCTGCTTTACAGAGGTGGAAGAAATCCAATCGATTCATTGATAATTTCAGAAGACTATACGGGAATTGGCTGCAAGCAAATATTGATTGGCCAAGTTGTGTGCAAACTTTACTTCATCAAGAACCAACTGCTGATGAGTTACCAGACACACACTCAGTCTCTCAAGAACCGTCTTCTTTATCGTGTGTTGGAACAATGACGAAAAGGTCCCGAAAACCATTCGAAGATCTGGAAAGCAAACAAAAAACGAGAAGATCTGATGATCGTGCAGGCGAAAATTCCAGTGAATTAGCATATGCAGCTGCAGCACGTTTGAAAGAAGAAGGGCGTGGTGATATCGCATCTGTAATCGAGTATATGATGAAAAATCCAAAACCAGCCGTTACAATTAATAAAACGCTTAAGAAACCATTGAAAACAGTCATATTTACACCAGAGAAAGCGCTTGGATTGCTTCTTTCACTAAAACTGTCAAAGTGGCAATATATTACGTTGCGAGAGGCTGCCATTCGGGAAGGTGCTGAGGGTATTTATCCATCCTACTATAAACTGCAACAAACCAAGCTTGATTGCTATCCTCTGAAGCAATCAGTATCAGTTACGGATTCATCGGCCAGGATTACCCTTCAAGCTTTACTTGACATCACGGTGACTAGGATCCTTCAAAGTCTTTCTGATGATGTGCAAAATAAACAGCTAAAGCTAATATCTAAGTGGGATTTGATGGTGCTTCCAACCAAAGCCGATACAAACAGAAAATGGAAGGCGAGCAAGATGATTCAAGCATTTTCATGACCACATTAGTGCCATTAAAACTGACAGATGAAGATAATACTTTATGGACGAACCCAAAACCTTGCTCGGCTTTGTATTGTCGTCCAGTTCAGTTTACTTTTGTAAAAGAGAGCGAAGCAGGTGTCATTGATCACAAAAGACAAATGGATGATGAAATTAAGGTCCTTATCTCCACAGAATGCAGTAATAGTAACAGTGTGACTCATCAACTAATGATGACAATGATCGACACGAGTCTGCACTTATTTTTCTGAAGCCAGATCAAATGCATCGTGCTACCTGTGTTTATCGAAACCAACAGAAATGAACCGCTTAGATGCTGTAACATCAAAGACCGTGTGTTCTGATATATATGAGTTTGGCTTGTCATCCCTACATGCCCGAATAAATTGCATGGAATGTCTGTTACACATTGCGTACAGGTTTGACTTCAAACAGTGGGCTGCGAGAAGTAATGAGCACAAAGAAATGTTGCAGACAAGAAAGAAACTGATTCAAAATAAATTCAAAGATGAGCTCAATCTGTTGATTGATATAGTGAAACAAGGTTCAGGAACTACGAATGATGGGAATACAGCCAGAAAGTTTTTCGAGTTTCCCAAAAAAACTGCAACTATTACCGGGTTGGATGAAGAACTTATCAAGAGATTTGCTGTTATTTTGCAGGCAATCACATCTGGAGAAAAGATTGACGTTGTCAAAAAAAAAAAAGATTTTACCCGCAAAACAGCAGAAAAATACGTGGAATTATACGACTGGTATTACATGTCGGCAACTGTGCATAAATTATTAATTCACGGGGCTGACATAATAGAGAAAAACGACATTATGCCTATTGGGACTCTTTCGGAAGAAGCCTCAGATTCTCGAAATAAAGATTTCAGGAGGTTCCGGGAACATCATTCACGGAAAAGAAGCAGGCAAGATTCAAATCAAGACATCCTGAATATGCTTCTTGTGTCTTCGGATCCTGTTCTAAGTGCACAAAGGCCTAAATTAGATGCCAAGGGAAAGCAGAGCTTTTTTGCTGAAACTCTTGATCTAATTCAGTTTCAGCAGACTGAGTATGAGTTTTTAGATATCTCCAATCTGGATTCTGACTCAGAATTGGAGTTCGACAACGAGAGCGAGAAGGAGAATTTGTAAATTTGATTACATGTTATGATTTCTTGCTATTTTTGTAAGTTTATTGTACCAATAGGTTTAAGTAGTTATTAATTCATCAAATTAGTTATTAAAATATTTTGTATGTTGTATTTAAAGTAGATACTGCTTTTTTTAAATATTTTTTTGGTTTTTAGATATTTATGTAGATAACTAGAAATGTTTCCTTTTTAGTTTTGTCTTTGGCTAGGTTTTAGTATAGGTGCTTAGGTATTTATTATTTGATATATTAAGTGTAATTATTTTGATTTTGTTTCAGTTTAATAATATTACTTGAAAGATTTATTGTATGTTTAAATTTTTTTATACAATTGTATTGTAACTCCATTTGAATTAAAATATTTTTGTATCTATTTTATAGTATTTTAATATTTTTATAACCTCTGTTTTATTTAAATTATTAATAAGAAACATATATTTTTCATTTCATCTTGTTTTGTATATTTTTATTATTTGGAAAAACTACGTTCTTAACTTAGACACTAAAAGGAGAAACAATTCCTTTTAGTGTGTAACTTAAGAATGTATATAAATAAACAAGAATATTTTAACAATTAAATAGGTAGTTGTAATTACTTAATCCCTTGTTTTTAGATTCATTAGAAAACTAAACAATATCTGTCTAAGTGTGGGTGTACTATAAACCTCTGCCTAGTCTTCGGGAATATAGGGGTGATGCTATTTAATGTAAAAAGTTTGTGTTCCTCAACTCAAAGACTAAATCATTTCGTTTCACATGTAAAATTAAATAAAAATATTTTGATGATTTAAAAAAAAAAACGGCATTTATGATCGTTATCTGGCGTATGCCAAAAAATTATAAATAATTAGTACTGTAACCACCTGTAAGGATATTACGGTTTTCCTTGCCGTTTAAAAGATAATTCGATTTTTCATACAAATTTTTCGAAAAAGAATTATAACTCCTTCGTTTTTGAACATAATCAACTCGGGTGTCATATTTGTACATAGTAATAACTAAAAGAAGCAATATTCGGCAAAAAACTGACACTTGCAAATTGAAATCCCTAAGTCTATGAAAGCCGATTTTCAGCCCACCGTGTGGCGCAGCATTATGATAACAGAAATGCTGTCGTCCTAGTGCACCTACTTTAGTTGTCAGCCTGGTGCACAGTAGTTTTAGTAGCACTAGAGCTCCTTGTGAAAGAGTTCGTCCAGGGAAGTTCTGACACCTTACCTATTTCTGCCGCCAAGCAGTAATATCAGCATTACTGTGTTCCGGTTTTGAAGAATAGAAGGAAGGAAGGTGCTGGTGGAATTACAGACACATGGGACTTGTTAACTTATGTCTCAGGGTGACGGGCGCAGTGACCACAATCTTTACGGTTTTAAGCTCCGAGTGGCTCTGCAACTGTTATGAACAGGCGTGTAGTTTACCGTCACGCGCACTTCGTCCCGTCACTTGATATTATAAAAAAAGCCTTACATGTACAGTCTAGAGCACATCTAGCCTGACATTTTGAACTTAAGACTACCTTATAGCAAACATTACTTAGCTGAATTTATATCTGAGGTGTCTAGCTTGGCATGCTCTTGACCTTATACAAAAGAGGATTTTATCAGGTTTGTTTAATGAAATTCTGTGTAAAACTAATCAACATGATTTATTTAAATTATTTATTATATTATGGCTTATTTAAAATAAATTACTGGTACAACTACATAAGTTTATCACTTTGACAAATTAGTATATATAGGAAATAAAACTATTTTTCCGGATTTAAATCGGAAATTTTTTCACTATAGTAAAATAGGGTGGTTTGCATTAATCAACCTCAGTCAACCGTGACCATGGGACCTGTAAAGGGCCCGAAACGTCGGTTTGTTTGAAAAAACAAATATACGCGATTTAAATCCGGAAAAATAGTTTTATTTCCTATGTGTAACAATCGCGAAAACCTAAGAACTCGATAAATTAGTATATATTTTTTCGAAATAACACTTTAATTGTTAGGTTTTATTCATTTAGCATAAGAGTGTATTTTTATTTTTAAAGTATTGTGCAGGCAAGATGCAATGAGTTTCACAATAAGTTTGATTTTTACGGAATCAAATCTGCTTTTGATTTACGCCTTGCATACAATACACTTGGAAAACATGTCCTATTTAACAACAGTAGTATATGACAACAATATTAATTACCATAATATATTACAAAAATCATTCACAGTTTTCAAGCAGATTTCAATATACCTTTATTTTCTAAATCCTTCTCCACTTTTGTTCCTTCATACATAATTTTGTCTTTCAAAGCGTCTTGAAGCAACTGAGCATCAAATCTTTGCTTTGACCATTGCCATCTACAATATGACCAGATTATTAAAGTCGACATGGTAAATGTACCAAACCCAATATGTTGCGATAACATTGGTTTTGATGTCTTTATAAATGCAGCCAAACCGACGCCTACACCTGACGAAATGCCATATAAGAAGCTTTCACGGAAACAGGGAATTTTAGAGACGTCTCTGCCAAATATGACAAGGCCCTGGAACAATAGCACAATTACAATAGAATAGACCTTTATTCCATATTATCAATGTCACAATTTAAAGTACAATGTAAAGAGAATATGAATAAGACTATCACAGAACAATAAATACAGTAGAAGTGCTTAATGAGCGTAATACGTGTGCCAACAGTATGTGGAGTTCCACATACTTGATCTCAGTCCGCCATTTTCGCTTTGTACGTTAGGGTCGTGCAATTATCTAGCGCATAACTTCGCATATTGAAGAAAAATGTCTTATTTTGCTACTTTGGAGTGCTAAAATGATAGTCGCACTTGTAATATTGTCCATGGTGGTGTTTCATATCATCGTTAAGTCTTATTTTATTTAATTGTAACAAATTCATTAAATAATATAAAATAATTATTCTGTTCATCGTAATATTTTTTTTGTTACTGGAAACGAAAATAAATCCTATGCCGCTGAAATATGGTCACTTCTTTTTTGGAGAACTAAGTAAACATCTCGAAATGGTCGTCGTTCAGCTATTGACCGCTAGATGGCGGTACATTCTTCAAAATCTAAACATCATAACCTGCAATAATAGGTATTGAACTTTCAACAATATACCAAAAGGGTGAAGTTTAAATTATATTAAAGTCCAGAATTTATTTCTTTTTAAATTAGAAACTAGGACCAATCATTATAAAGATATTAGAAAGATAAATGTTAAAACTTATGAATGTGTGAGTTTTGGCGACAGCGGTTCTGATAGTAATCAAGGCTTAAGGCACTTCCATTATGAACACTATAAATTTCATAGATTTTCGCCATTGTTACGTATAGGAAATTAAATTATTCTTTGGATCTAATTCTCGCATATTTCTTATTTCAAACAAACCAACATTTCAGGCCCTTTACAGGTCCCATGGTTATGTCTAATATTAATGCAAATACAGTGGGTATTTTTCACTATAGTTACAAAAGTTATTAATGAAATACCCTATTGTTAATTTTCACAGATCATTCCAATTTATACATTTTACAAAATATTTTATTTTAATAATATGAATTTTTATTAATAATAAGTTTACTCTAGTAAAAATTCAAATGTTGGTTTGTTTGAAAGACAAATATAAGCAATTTAGATTTGAAAAAATAGTTTCATTTCCTATGAATAACATTAATTTCTACAATAATAAATAATATGTATAAAACAAATTGTGTAACAAAAAAGAAAATGTTTGGCACATTTATCATGACAGATTAAAGTGAATGGAATAAGTACAGATACAGCACAATAAACTTTACACTGTATTTCAAATATATATTTGTATAGCTTCAAATCTTAGAAATTCATATAGTACTTGGAGCATATCGCAAGGGCAAATTTAGAAGAAAATATTTGTAATTGAAAGTAAAACCAATCTATCTATAACAGTTTCAGTGCTTTGCTTTTAATGACGATCTGAGAGGCACTGAGACACTGTTAAACATAAAGTTGATAAATCCCAAGTGCTTGTAGTTTCACCAGCACCTTACCCGTCAAAACTGGAATGCAGTAATATTTACTCACATTACTGCTTGGTGGTAGAAATAACTATTATGGCAGTACTTCCCTGAACAAACCCTTTTACAAGGAGTACTACTGATATCTAATTAACAATTATTTTACAGTAGTGCATTTAGAGGAAAGATTTCTAATTGTGAGTAAAAATACAACTATTTGGTTTTGATTTTTTGGTTTTTATTAAATCATTGAAGGATTTCAGAGGGAGGTGTTAACCACTCAATGTATATTATTTGAAGTTTACGTAAATACACTATCTACGAAAACAGGTTATATCATAAATTATTTACTGAGGAATTTTGTAGCAAATAAATTTATTGGATAAATAAAGTTCTTTCAAGTGCTGCTCAATATCCTAAAACCTCTGAGGAAAGCCAAAGCTCTCATTCAATAATGTAAGTCAAGAAAGTTTCTTTGTCACAAAAGTTTAACAATGTAAAAGTAAACACCTACCGGCTTCTCGTCATCGTCGTCTTCCAGCATACTTTTCACTACCGTGTCCATAATTGCGATAAATCAGTTTTTCTCTAAGATTTCAATATGAATATGAAATAAATATAGACAAGAAAAGAATGAGAATTACAGAGAACGGTTCAGATGTGATTCGTGAATAAGATCAATAATAAATAATTGCAGAGCATTATACAATAATCAACCCTATATTGATTAAAAGATCAGAAATGTTTAAATTCGTCGTATTTGAGTCTGAAACATAGACTAAGGAAAGGAGAAGGTCTCAAAATAGCACAAATTCACTGAAAAAAACAACAGTTCAATAATAACAGTCGCTCGTCGTCATCGTAACAAAACAATGATAAAATCACGAGGGAATTATTAGTTACGATAGAGTCTAGAACGTCCCTATTGAAAATGAAAATTGACAATGACAACGAAGGTGACATTTTAAAAAGAGAGTGTTCGTTTTTAATGAATTTGTTTTTTCCTTCGTACATGATATTGAAACGAGGCTCATATTATTTTTCTATCTTTAGGTTTACATCGCTACATATTTTTTTAAATATAAATACAAAAATCATCAGTCATGAAAATATAATAAGTCGTGAATTTAAATACAATATTCTCCTTAACTTCAGTTTTGTGATACAGATAGGTATGTGAAACGAACAAACCTTTTCAACCTTCTATCATTTTTGACGTAGATACTTCTTGAATTTTCAGATTTTTTGCTCTGACATTTTCTTAAGCTTATTTCAGTAATGATTTAGTTATTCGCACAAATTCTCGTGCAAAAGCTACTGTATTACTTAACGCTGGAACATAATGTGTAGTCTTTCTGTCCCAATGTCTTGAATCGCGCGCACAAACCAAAGTGGAAATCGGTACACTTCGATTAAAAAAGAAAACCTCAATGAACGTGTGTGATAACAGCAAAAAAAGCTTATCTCAAGCGTCGGCGGACCTTTCGCTTTTTCTTTTTAAAAATTAGTGTACTGTGCTTGAATCTAAAAACGAGAGAAGTTTTCTTACATAATGCTGCAATAAATATCAAAGGTCTTCGTTTTATAGTAGGTAAGTACTATTTCGTGGTAAGTGGTACTGCTTGTTATCAATCTGTAACATGTAAGCACGATCTGGGCCATATCATTTTACATACGTTGTTCTCGTTTACAATCTCGTTATAATCCTTTTACAATTCTTGAAATATGTACAATTATAAGGAAGGTGTAAGGAAGTATTGTTAATTGATAAAGAAATTGTTTTGTGAAAATTGTCGTATTTTAGTGAGACAGAATTACAGAATGTATCTTTTGATTACTTTGATTGATGATTTTTTTTCTTCAAAGGTCAAGTTATTTATCTTTTTCTTACAAGAATCTCATTAGATTCATTTATATACTTGAAACTGAATTTGAAATCTGCTGCATATATTTTGGGGTTTGTATTAATGTTGAATACATTAAGTTCAATCTGGTTTTATTTGTCTTTTCCTTTTCAATAAATATTTATAAACAGAAAAGGTTAAATTCAACTTAACTGCATTCATCCCCAGCATAGCTATTAATATTAAACATTTATTATTAACACTAAAACAAATGGCTATGGGGACCCACAAAATTGTTAAATAAAAATTAGATGCTCCATACATTCTAATTGAGTGTAAAGCTATAACATTTTATTTGTAATGTAGGGAATTTTTTATTTAACTATTACAAAATCTAAAATTGTCGCCTTACTTTCTCGAACTCATATCATAAAGCACAAAGTTACTGAAATGCAAAAAATGGGTTGCATATACAAATTGTACAGGCTGATTTCACATCACATTTTTTTCATATTCACACACTGGCTTTTACCTATTCTTAAAGTAAAGTGTCCAAATTAACACCCTTGATAAGAAATTTAAAATAAATAGAAAGTTTTGCCATCTCCTGAATAATCACTGTTTGTAAGATATGAGTTTGAGAAAGTAAGGCATCATAATAGCACTTAGTTTTGCATGTCAGTTTCATTGTCCATTAGTGCCCCCATGCCTGCCTGCCTCCGTGGTTGAACGGTTACCATACTATTGTGCCACGCAGAGGTCTCGGCTTGAATTTGCGGGCTGGGAGAAATATTTGTATGACTTACAATTATTTCTCTCGTGAGTTTGGGTGAAATTTGTGGTGTTCTATGTGTGTTACTATAGTACTCGCGACAGTGGGTTTTGCTAATGCAAGGCTATAAGTATGTGTGTTAAAAAAAGTGAGAAGGAGCCTCTATAAATAAATTCAATTATTTTAAAACCAGTAATGTTAAATTCAATTCAAACCAACCTTAACTTACTTATTAAATATTTTTTTCTAATCTGTCAGTTACAGTTTGCATGGTGGTGGTAAACATAACGAAAATCTAAGATTTTGATACAACTTTTGTTTTTTTCCCTATGATGACTATAATATGCTTTCCTATATATAAACGTCAAAATTTAAAATGTTTTATAGTCATTAATCCATTGCTTAAATGAAAAAAAGTCTGTAATTATATTCGGTCTCAGTAAATAAACATATTTTTATGTATATATATGTTTGTAAAACATTTTTTTGAAGGTATTTTATTCATTCAGAGACTTAAAATCCATATTAAATATTGATGAGAGGAAGATGAGTTGGTGTTTTTAAGTATGAGGTAATCAGCGTCGCGGAGGCGGTGCTAGACGTTGGCGGCAGAAGCGTGAAGGTTGCGCTATACTTTAGGCAACTCGACCTTTTACACTTTTGTTAACATTGATCTGAAATTGTATTGTTGCAAACAATAATTGCCTCTACAATTAAATTTAGTTTCGTAATTGCTTTGCTATCATTATAGTAAATAAAATTTTTTCGCGTTAAAAAAATTCACAATGTGCCTGGTCTTCAAACTAGGGAATTTCCTGTAAATCTAGTACCAGAGCAACGGATTTCACACTGGGGCACTTCTCAGAACATGCCCCCATGATCATCATGGGGGCCTGATCATTCTAGTTATCGTCACAATTTAAATGAGTATTTTCTTTATCAATTACGACTTGTACGAGTAAAAGTGAGATAACGAAATGAAAAGGCAAAAAGCATATGTACCACTTTTTCTTACATAAAGTGAACAAGTAAATTAGATTATTTACATAAAGCAGAAAAACAAAGAATTCATTGAATAATGTTGCAACACAGCAAAAATCCTTTCCACATTATTAAATCCGTCTTAGGTATGTTATTTACGCACCTAGCGTTAGTGAGTCCTAAATAAATAGCCAAATTCAGTTCATTTGGTTGCCAAACGATGTTGTTAACTATACAATGCAATTGTTGAGTTTGTGTTGTGAATATGAAAATATGAAATCCAGTGGCCAGACGAACTTTGGCATTTATAGATCTCTTAATAACAAAGTGTTTTCCTTAGCAAAAAACAGGGAACTACTCATTTGGCATCCAACCAAGATCCGCGACCTTATCCGTCAGATCTGCAAACGTAATGGCTACCATTTTGTCTGTTATATGGTGATTATAGGCCATTCGTAATGAACGCAAATTGATGTAAGGAATACATACGTATACTATAAGCTTGTAATCCATATGTACTTTGCGCAAAGAAAACTGCATTGAAAGCCAGATAGTTAACGTTAAGTTTCAGTTGTAATTTTAAGGAGTAATTTAAATTGTACACACATTTTGTTAAATATTTGCGTTCGAAATTTAATATTCGAAATCGACGAATTCTTGTTTAAATCGAATGGGAATTCGAATTAACGATACTTTGCACTATATAGTATCCTAGTTTAAGACATTTTGCTGCTATCAAATTCTCAGAGGGTCCTACAATGTCAATATAAGTCTAAAATGTAGTTCTTGCGCGCTTAATATACAATGCAGCTTTCTCGTGTATAAATTGCAGAAATCTCTCAGTAAACAATGACACTACACATAATAATGAACAAGTACGGAATTCTCATATTGTAACTAAACTAGAAAGTTACCAACTGTACGCAACTGTGGCGTGTATTAGGAAATCCTTACATTCACTTCCGCTCTTCCGTTCGAATGACAAACACTCGAATTAGGCAATTTTACGAGGCAACTTAAAAGCACAGTAACTAGTGGAAATGTGAGAAACTCTACCCGTGGAAGATAAATCAGGAAATCAACTTTCAAAACGATAAATTGTTTTAATATCGATATAAAGTCGGATCAAGATATTTATGTTCCAGGGACTACTACGTTCCAACTGTTATACGGGGTGTAATCGTTAAGTGTGCCCAGTGATTATTTCGCTAGTATAAGATATATCTAAAGCCTTTAAACTAATGGGTATCGAGAGTACATTACCTAACGGGTATAACGCAATCAATAACTTTTTTTAAATAAAACTAGAAATATCCAAAATTTACTTAAGTTAATTTATTTTAACATTAAACGCTCGCCTGTATTTAATATGACATTCATAGAGAGGCTTTATATAACGTACTTTCGATATCAGTTTAATTTACGAAATAATCGCCTGAGCACATTTAACGATTACAGCCTGTATTTACTAAGGTATTTTATGTAGCCTGTTAGCTATAGTTTTATATTAGCGGTCGTACTTTATTACCATATCTTCTTTATTATCGAGTCTAGTATCTGTTTATTCATTTAATCGTAATCTCTTTTTGATGAATAAATTTTCTACACTTATAATAAAGTAGTTTATACCCTGAGTTCAAACTAAAGCGTCGGTTGTCACATTTATACATAGATTTAAATAAACAAAGGAATAAAAGGTAATGTTCAAGGATAAAACCTTTGCCCCAACCTCGACAATTAAAATCTTGTTGCGAATAGGTAGGGCAAAAACGAGTCTCATATGTAATAGAAACATGACAGTAAATTGTACAAACAAATCTAGTGACAAAGTATTTTAATGACGTTAATAGACCTGTCGCCAACCAATACTAGCACTTCCTCCTCTCTCATTGAAATTAAGCGTACTGATGTGGCCCAGACCCCTTTGTCTTAAAAAATACATTGGCCTTGGTCAATTAACATATGAAT